AGAAGCACCAAAACTGGCTTGGCATATTTAGTCCTCAGAGCTACCCACTGCAGCCCAGCTGCAGCATGCGACAAAGTCCAGAATAAAAATGACAGCTGGGCTCTGTGGTGGCCCCAGGAGCATAGCTGGCAGCTACCCTTTCCTTCTGTGCATTAAAAACACAGTGAAAGAAACATGGGGATATGGAGGCATTTGGTTTACTCACACAACCTTCATTCAGCCTTCATGTATACAAACATTACACTACAGCCCTCAATTATAAGAGTACACAAACTTTTCTCCTATGAATCCCACTGCCTCATTTGGTATACAGATCTGTCCTTAGATAGAGCAAATGCACATGCACATTTTGACCAAATTGTCAGTGCAAAGAGTTCTGGATTTATCCTCCTGCTTTACCACACCTCTCTGCAGTCTGTTATTTGACAAAACATAAAACTGCAGTGTGGAAATTCTTGGTTTTCTTTATTGAAAAACACTTTTGTAAAGCTCATACCTCCATTTTAAACTGTAACAATGAATAAATAAATCTTTCTAAACCAACTGCACAGTATGGGAGACCAGAAGAAAGCAAATGTCATGACAGAGCATTATTCCCCAACCACCCCGCAGTTCAGTGTGTTCCCCACCCAGCACACGGGAACATGGTTAAATAAAGAACAGCACAGGGAATTTCCCCACTCCATCACAGTCACTGTAATGCATAACACTGTATTTACCATCTCTTTCATAAAAGGAATTATAGAAATGATTTTAACCATTAATAGACTTGGGACAACTTTTGCTGTCAGATAAGATGTTCTCTGAAGCCCCTGCACATCATTAGCAGTTGTTCAAATGAATTATGTAATAGATCTGCAAATGCATAACATTATGAGTCTCTTCAGTGAAGATTACTTGAAAAAAAATTGGTGAACTATTTCCATACCTATTCTTTTTTTTCCCCCATTTCTCTATTCTTCTCTTTTCTCTATTTCTATTTCAGAGCACAAAAGAAGCACAGTAACATAAAAGGTTGAAAATTGAATACTGTTATGAGAATACTGTCATTGATATTAGCACATAACTCAAACTAAATTACTGTCATTTCTGCTTCATCCTTCAGATTTTTTTATAATTTGCCAAAATTTGCAAATTCATGAATAATTATTTAATTAAACATTTTGCTTTAAACTCTGATTAACGCTAAAATCAAATATTAGCACTGATTTCATGAAATCACACTTTGTAGTTACAGATATGTACCACTTTTAATTAACTTACTGACATCCTTCTTCAATAAATTTTCTGCTGAAACTGATAAATGTTACAGATACTACATACAGAAATATTGCCCCCAAAGTGTGCAGGAGGTGTTACACATACTGCATGTGTGCTGTGCTGCTGATCTGCATGTCCACCATCAAAACATCTGGGAGTGCTCTGCTGAGCTGTGGGAATTCTCACCAAAAAGAAAAGAGGGAAAAATTCTGAAGCACTTGAGGTCACAGCTGGAACACATTCCCAGCAGAGATGGAGAAACTGTGGAGAAACCCAGACTTACAGTAGCTCTACCAAGAGGCAGAACTGGCTTTAGGCATAAGACATATGGTGAGTTAGCTATGGCAGCAGGCTGGGGACAACCAAAGAAGAAAGTGACTATTCGAATTAATAAGGTAACTGTTGAGAGTTCATGTCTGCACCAGCCTTACCATCTCCTTCACCTTCCAGCACCAGCCTCCTGTCCCATGGCTCTACAAGTAAAACCAAATCATCACTTGCCCAATAGCAGGCTAGAAATAGGTAGGGTGCTCCAAAAGTAATAACTCCTATTTATTGCCATGGAAACTTCAGCATCTACAAAAAGCACAAAAAACTGATACAGCAAAAACACTGTTTTTCAAACAATCACCCCCATTACCTGTGCATTTTCTTTCACCAGACATGAACGAAAGCCTGCATCCTGCACTCATAAAAATCTGCACTAGCAGAAGTGACCCACTGTTGCTGTCACTACTGAAACACACCATCCATTGCCTCATTGTGCTCATATCCACTGGTTGATCTCCATAACTGATGCAATCATCAATCCATGTCAATGGGTGCAATTTTTTCCACACAAAGGAATTCATAGACACGCCTTTGCTTTATACATACTTCCACGTCAGACACTATTTTGTCAGACAGCCCCTCTGCTGCCATCTCTTATATGGCAACAACACGGAATGGAATATTGGTCGGAAGGTTCAACCTCTACTGCCATATCACCAACCTCTGCCTCTGAGGTCATGGGCCAATATAAGAAAATAGGAGGCATTACTTCAGAGCAGCCCTCATAAGTGGAAAAAGCCAGCTACACTCTGACTTTGTGCCATCCTTTCAACAGCTCTGAGATGGAAGAGAGGAATGCCATTTAAAGAAACCAACGGCCTTAGAAACTGAGAGGAATATGAAGCAGAGAAAAGCTGGAAACTACCTCTAGAGCTTCTCACTTTTCCTCCCTACTTTCTCTTATCACCACTGTTGAGGAAAGGCTGTGAACTACATTGCTAGGCACAGAAAACAGAGCCATGACTGACACATTTCACCAGTGGAACAAAGAAATTCATTTTATTTTAAGAATTTTAATCATTTTGTTCTCATCCAAATTTTGCCTATATTATGGAGACGTTTAAGACTGATCGGCTGATTTTACCCTGAAGTAGATTAGGAACTCCAATATGACCTGCTTGGCTAGTTAAGAGACAGTAACGTTCAACCAGTGAGCAATAATGAACAGGAGAATGTAATTATAATGAAAGTAGCGAAACAGTTTATACAATTATATGGATTAAGATATCTTTGTCTATTTGTTTAATATTTTGGCCTTATCAATAGTTGGCACCATAAAAAACCGTAAAGACTGACGAATTATAAGATATAAAATAGGTGGGACGGCACTTCATGAACCTTCTCCTATAGCCTGTCAGTGGTTTCCAGATGCTCAGTCCCTTGCATGATTTTCATTGATCTTTTTTGCCTACAAATAAATTGTGCTAGTGCATATGGCTACCAATTTACAAAAAGAAACCTGAGATGATATAGAGAATGTGCTCACACACAACAACAGTGGAAGGTTTCTGAGAAAGACATTAGCCACTTGAAAGAGCTTTTTTTTTCATGCAGGTTCACCAATGGCAGAGTCACCAATGCCTTGGTGATAGTTCACCAAGCAGACAAATACGTATTTAGCAAATGCAGCATCTGAGCCATTTATGCTGTTACAAGCCAATTACAGGTGACACACATCTGTTTTCCGCTGCACAAAAGCCCTGAACCATATTTTCCCAGTGATTCTGCTTTGCTGCCTGTTACATCAATCAACTGCTAATGCCAAAGTCTGAATAATCAGCTTAGAAACATCTCTGATTTGAATTGCATTAAATGTTTCAATTTACACTCTTCATACTTACAAGACCAAAGAATCTGACTTCTGGATTAATTTAAATTTTTTTTTTTTTTTTTTTTTTTTTTTTTACTTTAAGAATTACTACTATAACTTTAACAGGTACTTGTCACCTGCAGGGAATACTTTATCAAGCTTCAGGGTGACATATTTCTTATAAAATAAGGGATGTTAGACTTACAGAAGTTTTGAAAGCAGTAAGACAAACCAGGACAAAAGCTCAATGTCAGTATGAATCAGCTAAATGCCAAGGCAGTCCCACAAATCCTGGGCATCTGATTTCCCTTCTGGTACAGAGATAATTTTAGACTGATGTGTCAAATGAGTATTTTAAAGTGACTTATATCCTGTGTAAGAAATGAATGACTCGCTCTAAATTTATTCGAGTGTTAAAAATTTGGAGTAAAATGGCAAAACTAAAATTGAATCCACAGGGACAGGATTTCACCTTTTATTCTTGTAAAAGGGATACTGAGAATAAAAATGCTGATTAGAGGGAAAAGAAAAAAAAAAAAAAAAGAACAACTCTGTCAAAGAGTCCTTTTGAAAGTACTCCCACACAAGTCTGCAATGCACTTCAGTCCCGATGAAGAAGTCAGCTATGACACACATTGCTTTTGCATCTGTAGGCAGTCATGGACAGATCATGGGCTAATGTAAATCAATCGGTCTCTGTTGACTTCAAAGGAGCTATTCCAATATGATTTTAAAAAAAAAAAAAAAATCCCTCACATTTGTAACCTAACAAGGGAAATAAAGCCTTTACTCCAGTTTTACAAGGAATTGCAGAACAGAACCTGTACCAGATTAGTTCTAGCAGTAACTTAAAATACAGGTACAATAATAAGGACTTGTTCATTTTCTTATTTATTAAATAAATTCATTATTATTCATTTAAAAAAGAAAAATATCCTCTTCTGTCATTAATGTTTCAATTCTGGTGTTATGACTTAATTTGAAGGTCTTAAATGCAACATGATATCAAACATCCTGAAGTATAATTCCCATGGCTGTTCTGAATCATTCAGTATGACTCTAAAAGTAACAATGACTCGGAACCCTCACTTATGAAAGTCCATTTTCTGCAACGATGAAGGAGCAGAACAGAACAGAAGGAATCAGTTCAGTCAAGGAACTGGTAACCAATGACAGAATTTGTGGGTGGCAGGGGAGGTTCAGATAAGACAGAAGGAAAAAATCCTTTATGATGAGGATGGTTGAATGCTGGAACAGGCTTCCTAGAGAGGTCGTTGAGGCCCCATGCCCATCAATGTCCAAGAGACATTTGGACAATGCCCTCAGTAACATGCTTTAATTCATGCTTGGATAGTCCTGAAGAGGTCATAGTGATATTTGAAGGTCCTTTCCAATTGAACTGTTCTATTTTGTTCTGTTTTGCATGTGAAACAGTAACTGTGTATGATCCAAATTTTCTATATACTTAAAGCCACTCATGAATAGAAGTCAGAAATACTATTTCAGTGAGCTGTAAAGCTCCTGGCAAGAAAAAAAAATATATAAACAAAGAAGCACAGAATTCCAAAATTGAGGCTTTTTCTGACTTTTTGTCACTTACCAGATATCTCCTCTAGGCACTGTTTGGCAGTCTTACTGAATGACAAATCCATTTTAGTAGGACTGGTGCAGGAATCAGCAGGTGGTAAAGAGGTACTGTCATTTTCTGAAAGAGTTCTGAAAACAAGCAAGAAGATGGATTATTATCATCTGTCGTACAGATATCAATGGAAACAAACAGTGGCTGCAGCTCAAACTAAAATTATATCTCTATATACATCCTAGGTAAAGACATACGGAGAAAAAAACCATGAATGTCACATTCTTACTGAATTAGTTTGACTCCAGTTAGACAAATTTGCAACTCTGTCTCTTCAAAAACAACTCAAGAGCTTAAGCTGAGAAGTTTGGAACCATTTTGTTTCCTTACTTTTTCTTCGCAGGAGTCAACCAGATATAGGCAAAATCCATTTAAATCTGTTAAGTCACATGGTAAGACATATATAAGGGAAATGAAAACTTGTATTTCATTGCTGAAATACTAAGTGAGATAGGCCATGTGTGAAGAAGCTTAGGCAAGAACGGAATGGAAATCTGGCTTAGATATTTAAATCCATGTGCAGCTTCTTTCAATAATGCTCCTTATATAACTGGGGAAATGGAATAATAAAAAGTGATTCCATTTACTTACTAATACATAGCCCACATTTTCTGTGATGGCATATTTCTGTGGATATCAATGCTAAACTATAATGGGTACACTTTGGATACAGTGGATACAGTTATTTGCCACTGCATAATTGTAAGTAGCAAGAATACACTAATGCATAGATTATAATATAGAACATAACAATTATATCTGTTCCTAATGAAGAACTCTAGCATAACTAGATGATCTTCAAGGTCCCTTCCAACCTAAGCTGTTCTGTGATTCTGTGATCTCTCCTACCCACGTGCTATTCAATCATGATGACATTAAATAGCAACCTGTACCACATTTGTATACAGTGAAAGAATGCATCTAAAGATAATACCAGCTACTTCTCAAAATAAAATGGAAAACATTCTTCAGTTACCACTGAATTTTCTCCAGTTTTTCTGACACGAATAACACACTCAGTCTTCTGATTCCTTGAAAGACTGGTGAAATATTTATATCTCAATTTTAAAGCATTACATTTATAGCTCAAGTCTTAAAATTCACAACTGTGTTTCTAATGACTAACTAAACTATCAACACACAAGCATTTAACTTATCACTCAAAATAATTCTATGACAATTTGTGTCATAAAATTACCTTCTTGTTAATGTTTTCTTCATTACATATTGCACAGATTTTTTCAGTAATTCATGGCAATGACTGAGGGAACAGATATATGCATACACAATGGAGCAAGTTCTGTCATGCTGAGATCTGTTGATTGTAATCCTTTCAGTCATTTAACTCTGACCTTAAAAACAGAAATGTGCACTCCTTATCTCTTTCTGCACTTTGGAGATTTGGGAAATAAACAACAGTACTCCAAAAACAGTTTTTGCTTCTTGTCTACTATTTCCCTTTTCACACTACTGGAAACACATATGCAGCAAGAAGCTGCAGAATTCTATTGACCGTGAATGTGATTTTACATCTACTGTGTGAGGACAGTGATCTCAGTAATAAACTGAAATCCCACAGCCCCACCTGCTTTCCTGTCTTGCTTCAAATCATCAAAATGAAAGAGGGACACATCTACTTTCACTGAATGTAACTTTGACAGATCATGAAAGCTCTGTCTGGGCTTTATGATGACACATAGTGCTGGATCAGCCCAGGACAAAAGGTCAGCCCAAAATAATATCTCAGAAAAAGACACTTACAATAATAGTAAAGATAATCAAAATGTTCTGCACTCTTTTCATTAACCTCAAAAAACTATGCTACAAGCACTAGAGACAGAGAAAGGCTGACATTAAGAGGAACACTAGAAACGTGCAGGCTTCTATTGGTCTTGCACTAAGGGCCCTCAGCTAGCTGAGAACAGTTCAAACATTTCTAGCCACATCTGTAAATGTATATGGACTTCACATCAGTCCACTTCTGTGTAGAAGTGGAAAAGGACCTTTTTCACCTTCTGACCTTATGGCATTGCATGCCTGATTGTGTAACTGTTCTTCCATCAATCGCTGCATTAGCCCAGACAGGGGATGTAAACCCCTCTCTGACTGACCAAGAGCCTTATGTACGCTATTTTCTAAGAGAGGATTGAAAGGATCTATTCTTAATTATTTGCCTTTCTGTAACTAAAAAAGGGATTAATCGATCTGGATCCTCACTAGACACCAGTATCCAACATTTGCACTTCTCAATCTAGAGAATGGGGAGAAAGATAAGCACAGAACTTCAGTGATTTGGACTACCCTCTGTCAGATAGCATTGTCTGTACAGTCAACAAAGACTAATACAAAAATCACTACTGACTATATGGTATATATTTGCTCATGTTAAAAGGGTTGGATTCCCCTATAGGTAAAAGAGCACAGATAAGTAAAGAGTGAGGTAAGTAAAGAAAACTTCAGAATGAGAGCATCTATTCACCTAATATGACAATGTGTAAAAGTTTTCACTTGTTCAACTCAGGTCAAATCAAATCTTCCAGAGTTATACCAAAAAGCAATTAAAGCACATTGTCTGGACGACGTGCTGCGTGATATGGTTTAGTACTAGTGGTGGCAATGGTGATGAGGAGACGGTTGGACTGGATGATCTTATAGGCGGTTTCCAACCTTGTGATTCTATGATTCTATGATTCTATGATTTCTGTTCTTCATATTTGTTTGTTTGTTTGTTTTCCTCATTTTCAAATACCTGATACAGCCATAATCAGGAGATGTTAAAAAAAATGCCATGAGAAGAGATACTTGCAAAGATTCCCATTTCAAATTTTAGAATCCAATTGGTGGGATGAACCACAGCACAAAATCCAGTTTCTGACATAAAAAATAGCATCAAAATCTAGTCTCAAGCTAAAAATACTGAAGAAGTAATATCACATAACACCAATAATTAAAAAATGTTTGATTTAATTTCTAGAAAGACCATAGAAACACAAACCAAATGTAAATGCAATGAGGTTTTCTTAACTTCACAGGCAGCCTGAAATAACAGATCTAAGAAGCATGAAACATTTCTTTTATCTTACTTCAGACTTGAAAGCTCAAATATGATGTAAAATAAATTTGATTTGATAGAAAACACATTACAAAGAAACTGCTTTACTGACTATATTCATCAATTTAATGTTCGATTTAGTAAAAACATCAGTGATTCTAATTATTCAAAGTGACAGCAGAAATTCTACAGAGGACTATGGATTTTGAACAGTTGAAGTTCTGCTTACATAAGAAAGGTAGTTATTTGCCAGTGGAAGTGTTGGGCCAAAAAGCACCTGCTCAAGGACAGTACTTGAGTAACCCAAGGAGGAACCTGTGGACAGGGCCTAACCAACAGGTCTTTCTCTAACAGGCCTCCACCTATCTTGCCAACAGCCAGCACTTCCACAGCAGCCCTTTTTGGTGTAAGATGGCCAAGGCCCTATCTTTTTTCTGGAGCTAAGTTTAGACCACCTGGGTTGAAGATGGTCTAGTGGTAAAAGGCTTCCAAGCAAAACCATGCATCTCCTGGGAAACAATGAGGTCCAGGTATGGACAGGGCACCTGAAACATCAAGTTTGTTTTCCTCAAAGCCAATCACAAGGTGTGATACTTTGGATTACTGATGTAGATGCCTCTTTGCTTAGTTCAATCATCGTGGTTTATTTAAAAAAAAAAAAAAAAAAAAAAAAAAAAAAAAAAAAAAAAGAGGAAGGTGAAATTGCCAGAGTTGCTTTCCCCTGTATTCCTGGCTGTTAATTCTTTCTGTGGGTCATATTAATCGTATGAATGACTCAAATATCCTCTGCAGTACTGCAGCACACATCATTCTCCAGGCAAGCAAACAGTAAATAAAATATATTTTCACTAAAATTAGACAGGGATCTTAATGAATGGACCTGTATCATCTACCTATTTGTAGCCCACTGCCTTTAAAAAATAATACTTGCATCTCTCTTGTCATCAAGGAAGACTTTCAGTTTTTTCAAAACACCCTGTTGACACTTCTTCCAATGCTATGTATCTGCAGTTTAGGTTCATTTAAGCAGGCATCATGAAATCAAGACAATCTGCTTTCTATTTTAATCGTGGCAATCAGAATAAGTTTATCCCTAACTCACTGAAATACATGTTACCTATTTGTAGAGATTAAGACATGCTTAATGGGACAAACTCTGTTCTCAATCACACCTGCACAAGTTCATTCAGTTTGATTAAAATGATTGTGTACAAAAGTAATTAAGGACAGAATTTAAAACACTACTTAATAATCTGTCTTTAACACAGTCAGTGATTTCCTGTCTCTAACAAAATAGCCAACCTTTAATAAACACAGATAACATCAAAGATTTGTTTGGTTACTGCTTCACATTTCACATGATATCAGATTAACGTGCTGCTTTTCTTTTCTTTTTTTTTTTTTCCCTCAACAGCTCTCTGAGCTGCAGCTGTCTTGAATGTGTATTGCTGTGAGTGTAACAAACTGGCAGGACCACATCTGGAATATGAGTAGTTTGATCACCCATGTTCAAGACATGTGAGTTAAATTGGGAACAGCTGCAGAGAACGGCTGCTTGGACGATCATGGGAAGGAAGAAACTCTCAGAGAAAACAAAAGAGATAATTTGGTTTAGCCTTACAGAAGACAAGAATGGGGATAAGCTTATTCTCTGATGCATTTAAAAAGAGTGATAACAAATTCAAGAGAGGAAAGACAATTTTTTAAGCTAAAGGATAACATTGACAAAATAATAAATTGAGGCATTCTGATTTGTGTTGTTTGTAACTAATTTCTAACAGTGAGACGAAGGAATTACTGAAGGAAACCTCCCATTGGAGTAGTGAGGATATCTAGTTTAAGATGAAGCATAGTTGCTATATGATAAAGGCTTACAGGGCTGCCAGTGACAGAAGACCAAACAGGACTCAGAATATCATTTTTGGCCTACTACATTTTACTGATTATTCAGTCAAAGGGAGAAATCTGTACGACATGTGAAAGAATAACTTCAGCTCGTAAACAGTGGGAAACTAAGTTATCAGGCTAATGTTTTAACTTAGTAATCAAGTATGTGCTTAAATGATTTATTCCCCTGCTACCCTCCTTTCTACCTTTGAAGCCAACTCCTCTACACTGGAAACTTTTCTTGCACAATTAGTTGAAAATCAAGCATGAGAAAATGGGAGGATTTTTCTAAACACTGATGTTATATGGCAATGTTTAGTGCTACCTATGACTGAGAAATATTGGTAGTGACTGTTGCTTTAATTTCACAGCAGCAGTGTAACTAATAGACATCAACAAAGCACTGCAGTATAAATTTGAGTCATCGTATTTTTAAGAGTTGCAATATGCTTACCAGCACAACCTATTATTAACAAACACGATTATCTGATAAAACATCCTTTAGAAAAAGTTAATTCTAACTCCACAGTCTATGACTTCAAGTCACTAAACGTGGACACAAATATGGTTCCTACAAGCCCTGCAGGTGCTGTGTTTTCAAGATCTTTGAAGAGTAGTTTAATTATTTCCTTAAGCTGGTACAAAAACATCCTGAAAAAGCAACTGGAATTGAATTTCACTGTGCCTCCAGAAGTGCAACCAGATTATATCCTCCTTTCCATCTGTCATAGCTATGCAGTTCCTATGTGCCCTTGAAGCTATGGTCTGGTAATACAATTGTTTCAATTATCATATAGGAAAGGAGATGGGAAGATTTTAGTACCTGGTAACGTGTTTCTTTATTATGTTTATTTTCTCTTCGTACAGTGAACACTTTAGTCCTCTCCAAATTATAATTTAGATCAGAAAGATGGTCTAGAAGCCATCTCATTCAGTGTTCTGCTCAAAACAGATCCAGTCACACGAAGTTGCTCACTGCTTCATTTGATTAAGCCCTTTCTGAGGACAAAGCTTCCACAACCTCTATGGGCAACCTGATAAATTCTCGTCACCTTCATGGTGAAAATATTTTTCTCAGATTGAATCAGTGTTTCCCCTGTTGTAACTTGCATGCTACCTCTCATTCTATCATCCTGCATTTTGAAGAAGAGTCTGTCTCCATCTTCTCTATACTAGGCTGCTGAAATCATCAGCTTCATCCTTTTGCTATTGAAATAGCAATTCTGAGTGGTCTCAATTCAGACAGTACCGAAGGTTCTTTCATATGTGTCCATCATTAACTGACAAATTTACCTGAAAGAGTGACATTTAATCAATTCACAACAGGATGATGAGCAGTTGGCTAATTCTCTTCTGCAGCTTCTAAACCTTCAGAATGTAAGGCACTAAATACTTCCTGAGCACTGCAGCCTCTGGGATTTGAGCACTTCAAATTCTGTATTCTAATCAGCAGTTACTACAGGAATCAGTAAAATAAAACTAAGTGACCGTTCATGTGATAGAACTTGACGCTTTACTGAAAAAAATTTCCGTTAGTATTTTAGCAAGTCCACAGCAAGTGCTAATTGCAATCCTTTCACATACTTCTTGTGGGTTTGAGATGATTTATGTCAACTAAGCATTTACATTATGGAGTAAGCTAATATTTGCGTTACTACTGGGACTGTTCTGTTTCTCATTTTATCGAAACAAAATAATCTTTCCATAATTTGGAAAAATAGAGCAATAATTGCATACAATAGGCACTTGTTTTTGCAAGAAAGTGTTTGAAAGTACCAGTTATATTACACTTCTGAGCAATATATTTGAAAGCTAAGAACTCCTAATACTGATTAATTAAGCTGTTACTTGATTAAGATTTTAGGACAAAGATTCAGACATTATTTTCAGTTTTGTGTCTTCCTTCCCTGTTTTCAGTATAACCTAGTAAGCACTAAACTTCTGTATTACTCTTCTCCAACTGAAATTTAAGCAACACTATGAATATGACCAAATTCTACAGCCAGTTTTGATATGAGTCCAATGGATTCTGGCAGATGGTGTAATTTCCATTTTCCTCTAATTCTGTCTGCATGGAAGAATGTGTAATTTAAAGTTGGGGCTGGTTTACTTCAAAAAAATACAATCTCTTACACCCTCCTTTGAGTTGTTTTTCCTGCTGCATCTTTCTTATCAAGCTTTCTGGCAAACAAATTACATTTCCTTCAGCCTGTCATAAATCCATTGGACCCTGCAGGCAAGTTCAGAGAGGACATTAAAGGAGATGTAAATAACATATTCACAATAAATAATTACTTTCTGATGAGGATGGAAGAATTTAAATTACATCCATTTAGATTATGTCAATTGCAGTTTTTACTGTTGCTAATCTTTGAAAAGAAGTAATAATCCTGTAAGAATTTCCATGCCATGGTGTTTAAGAGGCATAAATACAATGTGGCATCAGATAGTGACCAAGCACCAAGAGTGCAAAGCCGAACAGTGCAATGTATCATTTCAGCACCTACTAGTGAAATAGCCTATTCTATCCCATTCAGCCCATTAGCAGTGAAAATGTTCTATTTGAAGCCATGAGCGGTGATAGCCCTTCAAGTACTCAGTATTCACGCTGGTCTCAAAGAAACTCTTTGGAGTAATTCCTTTTACTCACAAATCTACACTAACATCCTCAGAGCTAATAACTGATCATTGCCAAATATACGGAATCCACAGATATCAGTGATAAACCAGAAAAAGCATTTGTCTATTTAGCCTTGTGTTGATAGCCTATACTAACTACGGTAGTGTTTTGCAGTTGGATGAATTCTGCAGGTTTCTGGATAAAATGCATTATCTTTTTTATTAATTTATTTTGAAACATTTTACAAGGACTATAATAGACGTTCACTGAGTCTTGACATTCTTTCTAGCTATAAAAAAGCCTGCTAGTCTGAATGGTAACTATTGTTTATTACCCCACTGATCCATAAAGCTGTTCCAGTAGCCAACAAGTGTACCTAAAAATTCCAGGTATAAATTGTTGACATCACTCAAAAAACATTTAGATTTAAAAGCAACAAAATGTAAATATAGTACCCTAGCTTTGTGCACACTTCTACTTGCTGTTTGTCCTCAAAAATAAATCTGCTGACTTTGGAAATATGACTATTTTATCCTTGGTTATATTTATATTCCTCTGTGAAATTGTCGTGTACTATCACAAAGCCCTTGAGAGTTGTAAGGAATGCAGTTACTGTGTATTTGTGGGTCAGATTCAGTTTTCAGTTACAGAGATATACATTGGAAAAACCTCATTAAAGTTGGCCTATTACCCTGGGCTCATGGCATTCTGAGATCAGACCTTGGCTCGGAGAAATTTATTTTCATGTGAGATTTAACTTCAAATGCAGTCTCTTTTACTGCTTGTCTGAAGCAAATAGAAGATTATTAATACAAAATTTTGCTGGAAGATGCACACTTATATCACACTTTCAAATTCCAAATACATTTTTCATCAAGATGAAGCTTAAAAGAGCAATAAGGTTTCTCCATCATGCAATGAAATGGCATAAATCTGTGACAACACTGCCATTAAGTAACAAAAGCATCTGAAAGCAAAGCGTAGCCTCCTTTTCTCTCTCCTTATCTATGCAGTCTAACACATATGTAGGCCATCTTATGTACCACCCTGCAAGTGACTGTCTCACTGCAAATATTCCAGCCAGCTATACTGAAACATTGCATATTTAGTACACTCAGTAATACATTTAATTAAAACTCAGGAGGCAAGCCACTGCATACTAGAATAAATGTATCTTATATAATGCTTTTTGCCCCTCCCATGTGATTTTCAGAACTGCTTTTGTTCAGAATTAACTTAAAACAGTTTATCACTCATCAAGATTGGTTTTGAAGCTATGTTTAGTTGTATGTAATGATATATATACTCCCTCAGAGCCTACTTCAGCATCTCTTTATTCTTTAGCCAAGATTATCTACAGCAATACTTGCTAACAAAAACTGCCAGTATATTTTGTTTAATAACATATTTGTCATTTTATCAGATGTTAAATTTACCCACAACTGTAGCTGAAGCTCTCCAATAGCTGACATCTGAAATCATTACTCAAAGCTGCCTGCCAGTCTTTCTACACTTACTCTGTCTTCTGGTTTGTATAACAGTGAAATCTCTCATTTTCCTTTGGTTGCTTTACTACATAGCAAAATAAATTCAGACACAGATCAATACATTTAACTGCTCTTTCCCCTGTTCCAGCGCCTTGGCCAGCAAAAGATCATGCACCACCACTAAAAATTAACTGCCTCTAAGGAGTTAATCTATATCTAGTTCATGTATAAAAGCTAACAGCCAGCAAGCTTTTCTCTCTGCCCAAAATACTGGAACACTTTCGAACGCTTGCAGAAGTTTGTATATGATTTTTCTTCTAATATCCTACAAGTCATATTCTCTGAAAACGTCAGCAGTTTAATTTAGGATTCTTTTAGCAAATGGTGTATTTTAAGCAAACATTATCAGATATCAGCAAATAAATGTTGAGATTCTTAAACTGCACACAGGAATATTCTCACTGGAAACCTGACTCAGCCACGACCTTTCAAAAACAGAGCAGGAAATTCATAACGTGACTTGGATTTCCAATCAAAATATCCCAAATTTTAAATGGGAAATATTTGTGATGGAGTGCCTTCATATAAAGTAGAGAATCAGTGTTCCAGGGGGAAATTTTTTGTGAAGCAGTATTACTTAAAACATAATATCAGAAAAACGTGTGATGCTGTGACAGCATGTGGAACCTGGGAGATAAGAAACATGACAGTGTGATAGCTCATCATGTTCTCCATTTTAGCTCTCTTTTCTGAATGGTAACACAAAACCAATTTTCCTGAGTGACCTTACCTATAAATGAAAGGGGCTACTGTGGCAGTATTAGGGTGGCTGTATTGCTGTTGCTGAGGAAGTTGGACAACACCATTCCCCGAGCTTTGGCCGCTGCTTGTTGCTGTGCCTGACAGAGCTGTGGAGGGCCCCGGGGTGAGAGCAGTGCTTGGTTCTTTCCCTTCAGAAAAAGCAAGCCCACAGGAAGGAGAAGCCTTCTCGTTAAGTTGGGACTTAGGTGTTGGTTGGGACTGGTTTCCTTTTGTAGTCCTCAGTTTCTCAGCTTCCTTACTTGCCACACATGCAGATGAAGTACTTTGCTTTGCTGTTGGCACCTTTGATCCAGGTTTTGGGATCCCACTAGAAGATGGTATTAAACTTTCCTTCTTGGCTGTTGCTGTCTTGCTTCCCTTTGGGATTAAGCTTGCAATTTTTGAGCTCTTCTTTGTAGATGTTTCAGTGACCTGGTCCTTCTCTTCCTTGACAGTTTTCTCAGTGCAAACTTTGTTTTTGTCCCTGTTCTTTTCCTCTTTGTCCTTTGGCTGTAGCAAAGACTTTTTATTGCTGAGATTTTTGCTTCCAGCTTTTGGAGGAGTTAACTTCGGTGATACTTTAGGACTGCTACTTGTGGAACCACTGCTGTTCATCCCACCACTTAGCACATCCACCTCACCACACTCTGAAAAGGCGTCATCCTCTCTCCCGCTGTCACTGGGCCCTGAGCTCAGTGACAAAGGCGGTCTCAGAGCAGTCCTAGCATTAACCAACTTGAATTTTTCCAGCATAGATTTTTGTCCAGATGAAGGGGGCTTCACACCTTCAGAAGGGGGCGGCTTAAGCCTGTCTGAGGATGGAGTAGGGGAGGTTGCAGGACTGGGCTGCTTCACGGATAGCATGGTCGAGGTCGCGCTGTGTTTGACATTCATGGATTTGCTGCGCCAAGGCTTGCTGGCACTTGGAGAGGGTATGGCAGAGACCTGCTGCTGCCCAGTGCTGGTGGGATGCTGCACATTTCCATTCATGCCTGCAGATGGGTGAGGGCCTTTTGGTGAATCTGCTTAAAAAACAGAAAGAATGACAATGGTACAATTATTCTCTCATCATCTCCTGCCTAAAGGTAACAGCATACCCCCCAGCATAAAAAGCACAATCACATAAAAACTTTCACAAATCAAGGTAAATGTGATTTCTAATAAATATATTTTGCATGTGTACAGAGCACACAAGAATATATGATCAAAATGCCTTTTTTCCCACCATTACGGTGTTGCACAATACTTCCTGCTATGAGCTCAAGCATGCCTGAAGATGCCTGACTTGTAACCATCCCATTATACAAATTAAACCTTCCAATGTAAAGATTTTATCTTTAATAAGTTGTTTTAGAAAAAAAATTCCAATCAGTTTCTAATAATAAAAAAATCTGAAAGGACAAAGGAAAAAAGAATGCTACAAACATTGGAAGAAAGCAAAACAAAACAAAACAACAACAATAACAAAAACTGAGAAAGATGGTATTTTTGGTGTTTATCTAAATATATATATATATATATATATATCATAGAAGCGTAGAATCATAGAATTGCTCAGGTTGGAAAAGCCCTTCAAGATCACTGAGTCCAACCACAACCTAACCAAACTACCCTAACTAACAACCCTCCACTAAATCATGTCCCTGAGCACCACATCCAAACGGTTTTTAAACACATTCAGAGATGGTGACTCAACAACCTCCCTGTTGAGCCTATTCCAGTGCTTAACGACCCTTTCTGTAAAGAACTGTTTCCTGATATGCAACCTAAACTTACCCTGGTGCAACTTGAGGCCATTTCCCCTCATCCTGTCATCAGTGAGAACAGACCAACCCCGCTCTTGCTGTAAGCACCTTTCAGATATTGGAAGAGAGCAATAAGGTCTCCCCTCAGCCTCCTTTTCCCCAGACTAAACAGCCCCAGTTCCTTCAGTCTCTCCTCATAGGGCACATTCTCCAAGCCCCTCACAAGCCTTGTTGTCCTTCTTTGGACCTGCTCCAGCACCTCAATGTCCTTTCTGTACTGGGGTGCCAAAAACTGAACACAGTACTCGAGGTGAGACCTCACCAGTGCCCCAACAGGGGCAGGATGACTTCCCTAGTCCTGCTCACCTTAAGATGAGACTACAAAACATGTAACAGAAATACAGTTCATATAGTAGAAAAACTATGCTTGATATTTCACTTACACAAGAGGACAAAGTTATACCCTGTGGCTCCCCTGTCTAAATAATACAGCAGATGAAGACAGAAAGGACATATCTGCCTCCAGCACAGTTTGAAGCTGTGTGCAATTTCCATTTTTTCAGTCTCAGCCCTTAGGCCATAGTATGGATTAGACTACTCACCTAGAAGTCTTAAGGTCAATAATACAGGAAAAGGGGGATTTCGAGCATCTCGGGAGAAGAACTGTTTTTTCTTTAACAAATAGAATGTGCACATAACAAAATGTACTGATCTAAGCACAATAATTATTAACACAATAGAAATGTAACAGCCCCTACTTATTAACTCTATTGCCAATTGCACTCCAGAAATCCAATCACTTCCACCTTCCATAGATGTTTTAAATGCCATCTGCCTGGAGTATTTCATGTGCACAGAAGATTTCAAGAATATTTTGAATGCTGGGTCCATTTGATTGGCAATAAAACATTAACTGACATGAGTGGCCTCAGAGCATTTTTTGGGAGAGGTGAGGCGATGGCTTATTTCTCTGGCTCCAGGCAGCATCATGCATACAGAGATGTGCTGCTGCAGAACTGTTCCCCACTCCATGACCAAGGCAGGAACTGTGGCTGGGCCCCTGCTATTTTCTGGTGAGCCTCAGATCCTGGAACAGAGCCTGGGGCGAACAACAGCTGTTACATATTAATACAGCCCTCAGGCTTCCTTAATTTATATCAGGGATCAGCCCTATGGCTGATAGCCTAGGACTGGGTGTGCGTGAGGACCTTCTTGCACATATGCATTGCCTTCCACGAAACATGCCTTCATTGCACAGGAGGATTGGGGTATTTAGCTATCCCAGTGGTACTGCAGTTGAAAATTCACCTAAAGTATGTGCAAAATTAATGAAGAATAGACGTAACAATCTGAGCACAACAGGATGTCACTGAATTTTCTTGAATTAATTCTGTAATACTTGTCTGGCTTCAGGCTGTTAGTTTTACCGAAAAAGAAAGCATCCTGATTCTAAAGAAGAGTACAAGCACTGCCATATTTCCTGCTATATAATACTGAACTAATGGGGAAAAAAATGTAAAGAGAGAAGTATTCACTATTTCACCACCAGCTTGTTCTGCCACATATGTAACACACGCAGATTCCAGAACCACTGATTTTTATTTGATCCCTATGTCACAAACCATAAACAGCATCAAAAGGTACAAACAGAGAACTTGCCTTTTATATTAAATCTGAAATTTCCACTGCACACTATCAAGAAATAGAGAGAATTTGCATGTAATTAATGATGTGGAATAGAAAGATTTATCCACTCCTAGTCCAAATGTATGACTTGAAGCTGTACATCCTTCATTGCTTTCCGAGCAATTGGATTTAGCTCTAGCTGCTCATTATATGAAATCTGTCCCCACCTTGTGGTGCTTTTGTACTATAAACTAGGACAAAATTTTCATATTTATATACACTAAATTTTACAAGCAGATGGGCTTCTTGTATAGGTTCCCATTCCTTTATTATTGAAAGGCATAATCAAGTTCTGGTGAAAACAATCCTGCATTCTGCTTGGGAGCTTTGTGCTGCAGGGGCTCAGCTCAATCTCCTTTGGGAAAGCATAACTTCAGCCCCTTAGGTGTGCACTGCAGAAAGTGAACTTGGCTCCAGAACCCAATATACAGTCCTTCTCATCTGCTTTCTCATCACTGATCTTTGCTGTATTCGGTGCTAGTAGGGAAGACGGGCTCTGAGAAAACAGCTCCCAGCTGCAGCATAGCCAGGCAGTGATTTTCCAGATATACTGGAGCAGGCATAGAGTTTCCAGCAGGCTTATTAATAACACTATGCCAGGTGCCCAGATCATAGCACTCAATGTTAGTCACTCACACCAGAAAGGTTAACAGAAAATGGAAAAGCTATAAGGGATAGCTGTAAGGATGCCTGACAGAATGGGAGCTCTGTGTAGTGATTTCAGCCAGTTCAGCTATCATGTTCCAACCAGAGAAAGCAGCTATCTCTTATCAGAACAGAAGGATAACATCACCAGGGATCACTGGTGGCATACGTGCACCAGAGCACATGTTAACAAATTGGCAGTGGGTGCACATACTGACCACAGAATAATGATCTGCAGCCATCAGAAAATGGGGATCTAGAGTCATTATGAACAAAATAATTAGAAAAGCATTGAAATTGATTTAGGACAATATATAAACAACATTTTATCTTGTAAAGGTAGGCAATTATTTTGGTGACATAAAGGTCCTTATTAGTATTCAGAGACAGTGTTCCTAAGCTCTGAAGTGTAAATATTTGTAGGTTTGGTTTTTTTAATGTTAAATTTGCCTTGAATTATTTTGCTGTTATTCTCAAAATGCTGTGCCTTATTACCTATGTGAACCATTAGTTTCTTCAAAGAGTTTTATTTTCCCAGTTTTCTTTTCCTCTGTATTTCACTAAATCCAAAGGACATAGATGTGGTGTCACCTGAATAACTTCTTGCAACCCATCCTAAAGCTGTAAAGTCCAGGGCAAGAAAAAGACTCAAAGTTCCACTGCAAAGTTTCTGCACATGACATCTTTATCATTTTGGTGCATCTTTTCTTTTTTTTTTTCCCCTGGATTTGATCACTATAACATAATGTTACCTATATCATGGCAATGCATTATGTCCATGAGTGAAAATCGGACTGTTCTGAATGAGCAGCAAAACTGCTTTCACTAAAGGGGACTTTGGCTTTCATATGGTATAAACCACGTACTAAGCAACATTCAGAAGAGATAACATTAAATAACCTACTAAATAATGACACATTACATAGCAGACACTTATTACATCTTATTCTGGACCGCTTTAACTCTCCTTTATGTCTATGCCTGTATATCCTTTCCTTACTGTGACTGAGCTGAAAACTGCGTAATAGGAGAACAAATTTCAAGTATTACTTATAATTGGATCAAAAAACTCTTATGCTGTACATCTTTTCTAAGATCTCCTTGTAGCACATACAGGAAGTTGTACAGCAGCAAAAAAAAAAAAAAAAAAAAAAGCAGTATCAAAAGTGGTCTGACCTTGAAGAGGTTTGTATATTCTCAGTTCTATTACCTATTTGCATAATGCATGGCATCCCCTTTTCTGCTTCAGTTTATGCAGCCCTAACGAAGAATCAGTTGTTTGCTATACGATCAAAGTCTCAGAAATTAGTGTATGTGGACTGTATGTCCGTTACAACCCGCTGAAGTTGTCTTTCTGCAAGCATCAAGAAGCAAAAATTAAAATACTAGGCTTACTGTGTGTGCTGGAATGTTAGGAAAGATAATTTTTTCAAGGTATAGTGCCACTTTTTTTTAAAGAGACATTTGTTATTATTAGTACTGCTACTGTGAGGGTTCAGGTTTGTCTCAGAAAAAATTCTTCAGAAACACAGAACACTCTCAAGTACTCAAAAATTAATAAAACTAGGAAGTTTCATTGTAACATTTTAAAAATAGCCATTATAATCATTTTATTTTTAAAATATCATGCTACAACTACTTTTCTAGTTCGGCAAAGAAGTAGTTTAGTGAATTGAAATACCAATTCCCCTGTGTTCTGTCAGTGTATTATAAAAGAAAAAAAAAACATATAGCTATCCTCGCATTTTTTCCTCGCAGTCATTTTCTCTAGCATGTTCTTTATACACATATTGTAAAACCTGTATTCACCTTATATTTGCATGAAAAATCAACATTCCTCCATCTGTTTTGCTGTTTTTTCAAAGGAAGAAAAGAAAGCAGATAGAAACATCTAATATGCAATACTTAATTTAGTTACGCAACATTATATTTTCTATATCCTGTAAAAAGAACTGGATGCTTTTTATACAAACAAAGCCACCCTTATCTTCTTGCTAGCGATGACTTCACTAAAAACCTCATCAATGTTCTCATCCCCTGCTGTGAAGAAATGAGTAAGCAAAGAAATCCATCATGCAAAAAGCCATGAAAATGTGCAATGCCATGTAAACCTTAGCAGTTCAAAGATAGTTTTCAACTAATGAACCAAGAGCAATCATAGCAACAAGCATGCCAAACCTTGAATCATTTCACTTTTTCACATATTTCAATAGAAAATTATGTCAACATTACAAAGTAATTCTAAAACCTGAACTTGCTGTACATACCTTCACTCAAGCGGCCACATCTCCTACTTCATAACTTCACTATCGTATTTGTGAACTAACTGTCTGCTCAGTTTATTCTCTGATCTCTTTTTAGTTTTAGTCTGTATGTCTTGCAATAAACAAATCCTTAATAAAATAAACTGCACTACAGAGCTAACTAAAACATTCAACTGATAGTAAAAGTAAAAAAGTAACTATTGAAAGAATGGTTTTATATCTTCAGATACAGCTAGGGGCAAACTGTGTTCATCAGAATTTTATAAAAAAAAATCTGGATAGCTGCCTGTTGCTTGGATGAAGAACATTCACTGCATACTTGTTCCTCCCACAGACCCCAAGGATGCAAATGGGTACTATGTATATTGTATCATTTTCAACTGTATTCTAACCCAGAGATATGAATAAAATGTTGTTCATTACACAGAGGGAGAAAGAAGGGGAGGACTGGACTAGTTACACAACTCAGAAGGCTGAATTTTTACATTATTATTTCTGAGATAAAGCCTGAAGAGGCACATTTTCCAGGAAAACAGCATCAGAGGACTGATGAAATGGAAGGACTAAGGGAAGTTTGTTTGCAAAACAGACAACCATGCTTAAAGAAGGCAATAAAACTTGACCATTGAATTCAAATCCCTGCCAAATTTCATTACATTTGACCTAATTTCCAATTCTCTGTTCAGTCTGACATAGGGTCCTGAAACAATAGACATATGTGATATGCTCGTGTATATGTAACATTCATCTCCTTTAGACGCTCAGATGCAAAGCTCTCATGAAAAGCACAAGCAGCCTTCCTATGGAATGAGTGGACTTGAACATGGACCAAGATTATAGGCAAGCAATATGGATTCATTTTCCCTTCAGAAGTATCACTCGAGGACCTTTCTATCAAAGAGGGATGAAATACTCAGTAACATCTTGAAAGGTTTCCATTCTTAAATTCTACCCCAACTCAATCACAAGTCCTAATTCAGAGGGCTGACTCCATGGTGCTTCCTCCACAAGTCTAAAAATTATATTTATTTCTTTGACCCTTGTGGATAGGAGCTATTTTTTTTTCATCGTGTATTACTTCCGTAGTGTAAGTTGTCTAACTTTAACCACTTACCTTTTTCATTTCCATTTGCATATTGTGGAGGCTTGTTTTTGTCAATGCTGTTAAAGCTCTGGCTTCTCCGATTTAAATTGGAAGCTCCCTGAACTTTGGTACTGCTGCCTGCAGCTGGCACTCTTGAGGGTCCTGGAAGCCTAGAAGTAGAATCAGAAACTGGTTTGTTGTGTGCAATGAGACATATAGAAGAGGCGGTATGCAAATATCAGACCAGAACTCAAAACCAATGACCAAAACCAATGATTTTATGTAAGCAACAATAAACAGGAGGATTCAAATTGGGTAGACTCAACAAATGAAAATAAAAGCTTATCTTTATGCACACAGAAGAGAAAAAAAGATGCTTTCTAGATTCGCAAGACACGTAAGAAGATGCTTTGCATTTGCCATTAACATTGCTGAAACAGATTCACCTTAAAAGACCATTAAAGCGCAGCATCAACTTGTATTTAAGTAAGTTACTTTTCAAGAGTAAATTTTACAGTAATTGATTAAAACACAACAATATATAACTGAAACATATTTCATTTGTCTAACTGTACTCAATACTCCACAGCTGCGTTTAACACAAAAGCTGGTACTTCAGTTTTCTTATTTGGTTATTTTCCAGAAGACTATTGTCTTTAGCAATTCTACCTCTTCAGGCTTGTAATTTCAAATAAGAGTATTGAAAATAAATGTTTCACCTAAATACTACAGAAGAATGCATGCCTTTTTGATACAAGTACACAATGTAGGTTATGCAGTTCGTTTGTTAGTGTTTGCTGCCACCATCTGAACCTTACAGGGTGGCTATGCAAAGGAAAAAAATGCAGACTGATATCCCAAGTTTAAGCAAGTGTAAGCTTGCACTGTTTTCTGTCTGAATCTGCTCTTCGATGAAAGATTCTTTAACACATCCTTGCATCAAACTTTCTGCAGCATCTTTGCGGGTCACTCCACTTCTTTCCACTTTGGTTCTCTGACAGACAAAATGAAATGCTTAAATTGGAAAGACACTTCTTCCATAGGAGAAGAATATCTATCTTGCGTTTTTCATTTATTGCAATGATATGATGATTTTAATAATGTCAATGCAAATTAAGTCAGATGTATTTAATTATGCTACACTATATGATGAAATAACAGCATGAGAAGGGAGAAAAACATCACGGTACAATGAATTACAAAATGCTAGATTTCTTGTGAACTTTTTATGTTGACTATTCTAGTGTAACAGAAAGGTTCAAATTTTGTTTTCATGAGCAGACACGTGTAAACAGCTCCATGTTGTCTTCCTTTACCAATTTAAGCCTCAGAGAGCTAATCCATCCGTTATTTTTACGGCTCCTCCTGGCCGCCAGCCTGCCCTGCTTGTCTGTGCCAAGCCTGCAGCAGACTGTCTCTGCTCTGCAGCTGTACGCGTGCTAACCTTTACTGTGACCCATGAATTCTAGTGATCTTCTGCTCCCTGAAGAATGCACTAAAACAAACTTAAAAATCCATTTGCTCCTTCTCATTACCCTAATTTGACAAGCAATGAGAGCCCCCGAGATCATTTGTCAAAGGTAATGAAAAAAGCAATGAAAAGGCATGTGCAACACTGGAAACTCATCTGTTCTGTTAAAATATAAAATATGCATATATTCTGCATGCCAGAATTCAAGAACTTGCCACAGTAAGCACGTTATACATGAGGTCATTTGCTCTACACACTTTCCAGTTTACCTCATATGCTGTCTCTTTTAATTGAATTCAGGTTTTAAATTGCTCTTGCAGAATCATGTTAAGCAGCTAAGGAAATGCAAAGAGGAGAATAACAAATAAGGGACAAGTCACATACCTCTGAACAGGCTTCGGAAACACTGCCACAGATTTAAAGTATTAGACATTAAACTGTTAACCCCAACATGTTGAATGCAGACAAGACAGGAGCATCAGCAGTAAGGAAAACAGAAGACCTATAAATGCAGGTGCAAAGCAACTGGACTGCAGTATAGCTCACTTCAAGCTATCGCCAGCAACTCAAACCATGTTAGTATGCTGTGCTGCAAAATGAAATCTTTATTGTAGATTATGCAACTTATAGTTCATTGTTCTCACCAATGAACTGTCCAGCAAAAGTATGATTAATGAACACATTAATTACACGCCACAAAAAAAGAATAAGCTTTAGATCTCAGCTTCTTTCTTCTGCAACCCGGCTCGTAGATTTTAGTGCTCGTGGTGCTCATAGTGCTATAAGTATAGGTGAGAACAGAATCAGGGCAGCTGTGTCAAATTCACAAGCAAAACAAAGCATTTTGCTGACAGGGACTGTGTTGGGCCTACAGTTGAAGGAGCAGAACTCTTGAAAGTGCTTTTTACTGCCCTGTTTTGCTTCTGCATGAACTTGGCTCTATGAACCTCTCAGGTAGGTTCCTGATACATATGAAATATCTACTGGGAACTGGGATGTCTCCCAAACTTTTTTTTGCTTATGACTGAAGTATGAATTTGAGCTACAGAATAAAGAGCACTAAAATCACCAACTAACCCTCCACCTGGTATTTTACATGCAGGATACAAAGATGCAGGATACATATAAACCAGAAATATTACTAATAAACAGTACAGATCAGCTCCTTCCAGTCCATACAAGGCTTTCCTATTGTAAAGCTCATTGATGCAAAGTTTGCACGCATAACATCAATACACATTGATTAATGCCCACTTATGTCCAAAGGATAAAATACCAATGGACATTGACTCGCTTGAGTATCGCTAACAAGCAATAAATTAGAGATATTTAACTGACCTAGAAGCCTTTTTTTGACTGGTTGCAATTCCACTGTGATTAGACTGAGTTGCATATCTGGCTGTGAGACTGTATGAGAAGAAACAGAGAAATTGAATTAAAGAATTTCTTTGAACATGTATAGAAAGAACACACTTACCAGCAAACTATGAGTTAATGAATGTAAATTGAACATGGAGAGAAAATACAAATCAACTGGCAAAAATATGAAGTAACGCAACATGCAGATTTTTATGAAAGATGCAACGCACAGATTATGAAATAATGGTATTGCTATAACTTGTCTTATTTTCTAGAAATTATTTTAGAAATTGACAGTTTGGGCACAGTGACTGAACACTAGCTCTGCTATGTAAAGAGCACTTCAACACTTCAGGCCTGTGCTTTTTCCCCCACAAAACGTACAAAAGACGAATATACACCTATCAGCCCCCCTAGCAAACTGAGATTGCAGTCTGGCAGGTAGGAAGAGATTTGCTGCACCAGACCCAGTGGGGACTCCGAAGAATTTCTACTAAAGAAAGGTAACCCTCATGACAGTAGAGCTGTATAGAAAGAGAATTCCATCATAATTTTCTTTATTGATGGCAGCACAGTTCATGTATACAATGCATTACCGAGGCACTGAATCAGGGGTTCCATTAGGAAAGCCAACATGTGTACTCAGATTCACTGTTAAATTTCATAGGAAAATGCACCTTAGTCTATTAAGACATCCAAGTAGTTTATCTACAAATGCTGTGCTTCAGGGCTAAAAACTATACATTCCTTTAAACATTCTGCAATGTATCTTTACTAAACAGCAGATTGATACTGCTACTGTTTCAACCATTTGCACAGGGGGGATATCAAAGCTATGGCCGAGATAAGGCCTCCTGCCAAGTAATTTCAGATACAATAAGCAGGTGCACCATGTGGGACCCATATAGCCTAAGGGCAGAGTCAAATGCCATCACAAAATCAAATTCCTTGCATTGTTCAGAAACGGATAGAGAACTGAGTAAGCAGAAGCTCTGACAATCGTAGTCTCTTACAGTTCTGCATATTCCTAACTATTCTGAGTAGTGATAAAACCAGTGTTTAGTTCCACCTTGACAGACTGGCAGAATTTACAGGAAATGCCTAGTGACACTGATTTTACCAGAAGAACATTAAGAAATTTCTGCTGGCCCAATGAGGTAGATAGGCTCAGCATAGAACAGAGGGGAAAGGTTCTCACAGGAGAAAAGTATTCCCACGCAGGCATGGCTGCTCTGAAGAAAAGCACAGGAAAGGCACAAATAAAGGGACAAAGTGACACTTCAATGTGCTGCATGATTACTGTTACTTTATGAGCTTATACCACAGTAAAGGGTTCAACACTGCTTCTATGCCTGCCAGTTACAAAATGCACGTGCTCATAATGAAAAATAAAAGGGAGACTACTTCAGTGTTAACAGAGTAAAACCAAATTATTCAACATATAAAAGCAGCATTCAATTCTCTAAACATCTAACTTCATAGTAATGCTGACAAAGTGCTCTTTCATATGACTATAACTTTTGTAGGAATTGTAAAAAAATATAATATCATCATAATTACAGTATATATTTTTTCTATGTATAGTCCTTAGTACATCACTTTGTATTTCATTTGCAGCCATTTTTTCTTAATGCCTAGACACATAATGAAAATGTGATACATGATGCTTTACTGAAGTTGTTAAAATTGTGTTTAAATTACTAGCTCATCTTTTGATAAGTTCTTCCACTTGTGGTTTTTTTTTGTCTACGTACTAAACACTAAAATGAAGAAACCTAGCAATGGTTAACCACTTATCTGCAATGACTAAACTCAGAAGTTTGTGGGAAAAATGGAACATCAAATTAAACCTTAGAGCATTTATGCTGTAGAAGTTACAATGATACACAGTACAATCAACATGGACAGTGAGCTGGAAAAGCAGAATGAACAGGATGCATCTTAACCACTGGCTGAAGAGCTGAAAGTTCTGCCTTGTCACGGTGCTTGGTAGCTTTTCTAACTTGAATTGTTACTCCAGTGGAGCTGGAATCTACTCAAATCACTCAAACTCAGTTGCTGAGTTATTTATAAGCCAGTCCACAGAGTGACAGAACATTTTACTTTGTTTTCTTTTAATAAGTAAATGAAGCATCTATCTGGAAATGATCGCTGGAAAAACTTCTTTCCTCTCAAGCCTGTTTGCTGGGATTCCATCCACTAGCAAATTCAAGAATCTTTCTGTAGACCATATTCAATTTTTCCAGACAGTACTGACAGGAATGGATAGATTTGTCAACACAGTATCTAAGCATTGTGACTGTCTAAATTTATTTTTCAAAGCAACGTGTCAAATGAAAAAGAGAATTTTAGCAGCTCATAAAATAACTGTATCAAGCACCTAAGTATTTTGGTTCTTCCTTCTCCACTAGCGCTTGATGCGCTGAACACAGTGAAGCTCTGCACAGATGTCTGTTTTCCAATGGCTGTACCCTCTGTTACAAATGTGAACTGCAACATTTCTAAAGTCCAGCCACGCCAGAGCCATTCTGAGTGCATAAAATATTTACATGCTACCTTTCATCCTACCTGATACTTATCAGTGGGTAACATCTGGCAGTGAGGAAAACAGACCTGTTTTGCTCAAAGCTGTATTTTTGTTAATGCTAATAAATACTCAAAGGCATTATAAATATATTCCCGCATTAAAGCGGCACAGACGCATGCTAACAATCTTAAGAGCAGAAATTTAACATCACAGCATTTAGGATGAGGAATTATTTATTTACCAAAAGGCTAGAAAGTAGGATACTCCTAGTTTTCAGTTGTCTGCTCCCCAAATCCTTTCCATTGCCATAATACTCCTATCAGCAGCCTTCCCTGCTATACAGTCACAGTTTCAGCTCCTTGGAGCAGCCGCAGCAGCTGCCTGCAAAGCCCAGCCTTGATAAATTGGCATGAAGGAGACATAGGGATTGAGGAGGAGAACAGCCCCATCTGTAGAGCATTCAGGAAAGCCCAATGGGGTAGCTTAGAGCTGGGGCTCAGTCCTGTCATCCAGAGGCTGGCACAGCCTGGATCTTTACCGAGGCCAGGAATAAATCAGCTAGCCTCTGGCTTCATGCTTATCACTCCTCTTCTATTTAGTGCTTAGAGAATGAGAAAGCAGATTCTTCTGATTAAGCAAATCCTGCTCAAAAGAGGCAAGATGTTGTAAACACATCTGATCCCAAAATCTTAGACTCTTCAAACTGGCTTCCAGGTGAAAACGGGCCCTAATGTTTTCCTGTTTCCTCTCGCACTCCAACGAAGCACTAATCACCACAACTGAGATGAAATGACAGAGCTTGGTGATAAACTGTGAGAAAATGGAATAAGCATGCTGAGGCAGCCCAGAAAGAGAATTCACTGCGGACTTAACTGGGGAAATACTGAGAGGGGAGCAATGCAGATGTTAGAGACTGTGATGCCCCTGAAGTGCTAATGGAAAACCCCAGAGCTATACCACAACCAGTGGCTGTGCAGCACTGTCGGTCACTTTGGGGAGAATGCACCACGAGTGATAACACCCAGACAGGGAGCTGAATGAGGGCATGCAGCCGCTGGCACAATAAAAGGGTTTAAGAAATAGTCCTGAAAGATGCAGGCAATCTAGGAAGTCCACATCAGTCACAATACTAAATATTAATTACTAAATGTCATCCTGCTGAAAGTGAAGAGAAATACTCAACTAAAATGGGAACATAGGAAAAAAGATGAAGTGGGAAGACAAGTGACTGCTAGATACTGGACTAAACTGCCAGAAGATGTTTCTGCTGAACAAATAGCATCGTATACCAGGAAAGAAGAAGCTCCTTGAAAGAGCATATAACATGTAAAGTTGAAGGATACATCTTGCAAAAACCTAGATAGTGAGTACCAAGCAAGCTGATTCAAATAAAATATTTTAACTGCCTTCTAAAAAAGATAACAGTGTCAGCCAGCATATTACCTACTTTCCATTAACAGTCTTTTGAAAGATCAAAAGGATCACATTACATCACTCTGTCACAACTGTGTAGCCATTTTCCTGTAATGTTGAGGTGTACGATGGCTTTAAAATGACAGTTATGTGATCTGTTAAAGATAGGAAGAAAACCAAAGGGGGGCTGTAGTATGTAATCAAAGTTCTACCTTGCTTGCATACTTGAATTTTAGATGCTGTTTATCTTATAAAGTATATTTATATCTCACTAGGGTGTCTGCACTCCAGCTCCCGAGATTTTTTTTATTAGAACGATTCCTCAATTAAAAATGAAACAAAAAATAATCAGCAAAAAAATACTAGTTAAAAATGAACAGAAAATGTTCCTTAGAAGATCTTGATTGTGCTGAAGTCAATGTTAACTCTCTCTCTTGCTTTCAGACTACTTGACTGTACACTTCTTATTGGTCTGGCTGGTAGATAGCACAAGATACAACAATCTAAGGTTCACCTGATTCCAAATCCCAAGCCTGCCACATGCTCCACAGTGTTTTCCAAACAGTCTGGGCAGTGAAAGTATGCCCCATTCCTCAAAAGAGCAGACTAGGAAGACTGAGGAAAAAAACATCAAACTCACTTTTCAAAGAACAGTGTATTTCTGACATTTCTTGTGCTATTTTAGCCCAACTCTGGTGAAATAATGTTTATAAATATTAGAATGTCGCTCTGAAAGTAGTGCCTCCTGTTTATTTCTATGGAAACTATAGCAGATACAAATAGCACAAGAACAGTTGTTGACAGAGGAAGTTCTCAGTCATGCCATTTTTTCCAAAATACTGACCACTGTTAGCTCTCCATTTTTGCCAGTGATGAGCAAAAGCCTGTATGCTGTGCTAATGAAAAACTGCATGGCCATCCAGAATGTCCTTGTCTTTCACATCCCTGCCACCACTACTGAAATGTGCCACCTACTGCTTCATTGTGCTCACCATCCACTGTTTGGTTCCCATGAACAACATCAGTGAAAGTCAATGGGTGCCATTTTTTCCACACAGAGGAATTCAGTTTCGCACTTTTGCTTCATACACACTTCCATGTCAGACAC